CGGTCATATCCGCATTAAAATGCCTGTATTTTTTAATAACACTAATGGACTATTTTTCCTGTCCAGAACAGATCTCCCCCTTTGGGAGCAGGGCTGTGGCAGACATCCGGCAGAGACCCAGATGTTATGTTTTGAGTTGCTCCCCACAGTATCCTCCTGGAGAAACTAGCTGCCAGTGCTTTGAATGGGTGTACTCTTCACTGGGATAAAGGACTGGCTGAATGGTCGAGCGCAGAGAGTGGTGGTGAATGGAGTTAAATCCAGCTGGGGGCTGGTCACAAGTGGTGTTCCCAGGGCTCGGTTTTGGGGCCAGTCCTGTTTAACATCTTTTATCAATGATCTGGATGAGGGGATTGAGTGCTCCCTCAGGAATTTTGAAGATGACACCAGGCTGAGTGGGAGTGTTGATCTGCTTGAGGGTAGGAAGGCTCTACTGAGGGATCTGGACAGACTGGATCAATGGGCCATGGCCAACTGTAAGAGGTTCAACAAGGCCAAATGCCAGGTCCTGCACTTGGGTCACAATAACCCCATGCAACACTACAGGCTTGGGGAGGAGTGGCTGGAAAGCTGCCCAGCGGAAAAGGACCTTGGGGTGTTGTTTGACAGCCAGCTGAACATGAGCCAGCAGTGTACCCAGATGGCAAAGAAGGCCAACGGCATCCTGGCTTGTCTCAGGAATAGTGTGGCCAGCAGGAGTAGGGAGGTGATCATGCCCCTGTAGTCCCCCAAACCCTCTGAAATGAAATACTTCTATAATGTTTGTCAGCATAAAATTTGAAGGAAATGTGCCCTATGAAAAATGTGCTACCTTGTAAACATCTGTCCTTTTTTTCTGAAAAATTAATGTGACAGAAAATTGTAAAGCAGTCATAAAGTCCTTTTGTAATTAAAAGATACAATTATTTTACTCAAATTGTGCTGAAAGTCACAGTCGTGCCGTTAAGACAGTGTTTCTCCTAAGACAGATCACAGCTTACATATGTGCTACCGCTCCACTTGTGTGGTGGCTGCACTCTGAACTACGGTAGGGCCATACCAGTAGAAGTATTCATATTTTGTAGTGTTGATTTTGGCATATGCCAATTGGATATAAATTTGTGTGTGTGTGAAATCCAGGTATTACATAGAATAGGCATCAGTAGTGCTCATAAGATGGAGAACCCTTGCTGCCATCCTTCATAGGAAGAAACTGACAAACACTAGTAACAAAGAATGAAGAACACTTCTAATTTTTTAGGCATAAACAGTGTCCTTCAGTCTGATTAACTGCATTGGAAATAAGACCTGCTTGCCATATAAATCCAGTAATGAAGGAACTGTGGACAGGATGACTACCTTAAAAACATTACAACTTTGTAAATGGCAAAGGGAATTCTATGTACTACTCCATAAAGTCAAGCTCAGACAATCAGTCAAAATGTTTACTGCAAGAACTGGTTAAAAAAACATGACATATTATGAGCATTTTTAAGAGGATTTAAAAAAAATAAACCTAAGTGAAAGGATGTGGCAAATAACTTTTTTTTTTAATTTAATACCTCCTTCAGAGTTCTGATTATTTTGTGATCCTGAACTAGTTACTGAATTTTCAGTCTTGAATAAGGATTAAAGCATAACACATTATTCAATACGACAACCTTATCCAAAGACCAGACTTAGATTTTGTGTTCAGGACTGTGCAGCATACTCAGAGACGGAAATTCCAGCACTGACCTGTTCCAGTGTCCTGATCATATTGCCCAATTTCATACATGACTGAAAAAAAAGATCATAGAATCGTAGACTCATAGAATAGTTCAGGTTGGAAGGGAACTTTAAAAGTCATCTAGTCCATAGATAGAATCATAGAATCATAGAAAGTTTTGGGTTGGAAGGGATCCCTAGAGGTCATCTAGTCCAGCCCCCCCGCAGCAAGCAGGGACACCACTAACTAGAACAGGTTGCTCAGAGCCCTGTCCAACCTGGTCTTGAATGTTTCCAGGGATGGGGCCTCCACTCATGAGTGTTTCACAATGACAGTCTCTAAGGCATATTTTAAGTTATGGTGGTGATGAAAGTGGTTATTTACTTCTTCTTAGGTCTCTTCATATCTTTCTAATAGTGGAATCATATAGTAGGTTATACACAGAACAGCTAAGTCAGCAAAATAAAATAAAACCACTTATCACAGAATCACAGTATCACAGAATCGTAGGGGTTGGAAGGGACCTCTGTGGGTCATCTAGTCC